AGTCGTTTAAGGATTCAGGTGGACCTGTTGCAACAATGAGAAGTACAAGTTGTCATGTCAAAAACGAGCTTTACAATGTCGGTGTGGGGGGAGGGGGGAAGAATTGGGTTGGGGGGGAGGGGGAGGCTGGGAAGAGTGGTGAAGGAGCAGGCTGCAATGTTTGGTAAGAAATGTATGCATTATCCTTCCCATGTAATTGTAACCCCTCTGTACGGTATGTTCACAAATAAAATTAAAAAAAAAGACTTTACTTAAAACAGAGAACTGGGACAGGAATTTCTTATTTTATGTTTAGTTGGGTCTTTTCTATGTCTTGTTTTTCTATGTACTTTTCTAGTATTATATTCTAGATTTCTCAATCTCCCTTTATCTTTTTCTTTGTTGCTGATACAGAAGCTTAATCTTAGAGCCTGGGCACTGTTCCTTAACTTTTATGCTCAAGGCTAGCACTCTACCATCTGGTCCACATTGCCACTTCTGTCTTTTTGCTGGTTTATTGGAGATAGCTAGCTCTGCAGAAGGTATTTAAACGAATCTTAGCTATAAACACAACATAAGAAAACAGGAGAAAAATAAATCTCAGTGGAAGACTATACCTGCCTGGTAAATGCAAGGCATCACATTTAAAATTCATTAAGAAAAAGAAACCCAATGTACTGCATACAAGAAATACAATTTAGTAGTAAAGGAAAACATAGACTTAATACTAAGAAAAAGTTCTGAGGTTTTGAAAACAAGCAGAAGTAATTGTTGTTTAGTTCTATTACAATTGGTCTAGGTTTTATTTCATCCATCTCCATGAAAGCAAAACACTTGGTGCTGGTATACCTTTTTTTAGGCTTGTAGTGTTTAAATTCAAAGAAGATAGATGCACGTTTGGTTCATTTTTCAACATGCTTCTGGAGCTCAATATCCACATTAAAATGGACATATGTGTCTTCTTTTCTTGAAGCCACAGGGGTGTATCTTGCACAGGAGTTAAATCTATGCCATTCACATCTTTTACACTAACTGTAATATAGGGATCAATACACTGCCCAGCGTCTTTTAGACCAATTTTCTCAATTCTGATAGTGGCAATCTGGGTAATAAAGTACCGCGAAATCGAGCAGGAAAAGAATCAGGAGACCTTGCTCCAGCACCACCTTCTTCTTCATCTTCTTCAAATTCCAAATTCTCTTCTTCACCAGGTGCTAAAATTCTTCTTAATGGTACAGGCTGAACATCAAATGGAAATGCTTTATTATATGTAAGAATATTCTTTAGTATTGGTTCTAGCTTCTTCAGGCCCTCCAATTCTTCTTGGGACTGTGTGGACTGTAAAGCTGCACTTCGCAATTCCAAGCATGTTGCAATTTTGCCTATGGTTTTCTTTTGTTTTTCTGTGAATTCTGAATTGTTGTGTTGAGCTTGGACCTCTTTTTGTAGATGTCTTGCTAATATCTGATCCTTGTCTATCGTCTCCACCAGCTGGCCCCAGGAGAAGAAGTCTGCTCCTCTCCTAAAGCTGGCGCCCCAGCGCTGTAGCAGACTCCAGGTCACCTCCGACATGGCCGGTCCCTTCCCCGTCCTGCCCCAGCTCCTTAGAAGCAATGCCGGGTTCTAGAGCCCCATCCTCCCCGTGCCTGGCCCCGACATTAACCCGATCAGGTTCGGCCACCGCCACCCGCCGAGGAGCCGCACCAGGAGTAATCGTTTAAGTAGACTTTAGCCAAAATTATTCAAATTAACAAAGGCAGTAACTTCATATTGATAGAGAAAGCAATCCATCAAGAAGATAGAACAATTATAATAGAAATTCAACAAGTATCAGTACACTCAATTTCATAAAATAAAGACAACTGGATCTAAAGGTTCAGAAAGTCCCCAACAAAATAATATTGGTTATTTCAAAATCCAACTATTACCAGTAAGTTACCTAGACAAAAATCTAACAAAGAAACAAAAGAGTTACATGACATAATGACATGCATAACATATCAAATATTTGGCAGACATCTACATAGCATTATATACAATAGATGCAGGATACATATTTTTTAAAGAACCTATTGAATGTTCTCCAAAATGGATGGTATTTAAGTGTTGAAGCAATCAAGTGAAAAAATTGAAATAACTTCTTGTAGTTTATCAGTTCATAATGAAATAAAACTAGAAACCAACAGCAAGATAAAGTAAAGAAAATATACAAGTACACAGAGAATGAAAATTTTGTTGCTGTTTTTTTCCCCTTATCCTGAGGCTTGAACTCAGGACCTGAGGTTCTCTCCCTGAGCTTCTTTTGCTCAAGGCTAGCACTTGTACTATAGCGGCACTTCCAGTTTTTTCTGAATAGTTTGTTGGAGATAAGAGTCTCACTGACTCTTTTGCCTGGCCTGGCTTTAAACTGTGAATCTGAGATCTTAGCCTCATGAGTACTAGGATTATAGGCATGAGCCTCTGAACATTTTGCTTTTGATACCATCTTTCCTTTATTGGCCTGACTCTTCTCACTTGCAGAACTATGTGCAGGGTAAAGCATTTCTACTCTGCCATCTCTCTAGTTTTCCTATTATAAATGTTTCTTATCAGAGTCCTTGTTACATTTGCTCTGATTAATATAATGTCACCAGTATTGTATACATAGTGAAATTTCTCAGATTATCTGGATGATCAATGCCCGTGGAATGGGACAGAGTTGAAGAATTAATTGGGAAAGCCTGAGAATGTATGCTGCCATTTTAAATGAATGTGAAAAACTTCTAGTTCCCCTTTGTGATAGAGATATAAACATTTTTTATAGCACTGTATCAAATACCTGTAAGGAAATATACAAAGGAGGTTTTTCAGAGGTTTTAATACATAGTTTGCTGACTACTGATCAGGGCATGAGATGAGGCAGAATATTATGGAAGTAGAGAGATACTGAGGCAGAGCTACTCACCTCATGGTATCCACAAAACAAGGAGAGAAAGGAAGGGGCAAGACAGACAGAGATGAGTGGCCTACTCTCTCCAGTGAGGTCCCACCTCTTAATTTTGCAGCCCCTCTCCAAATGTTGCTACCAGCTAGGGATCAAGATTTACATTCAAATCAAGACATAGTCAAATCATAGCCATAGCATGGCTGATACAAGTTACACCATTTGCATTCAAAATCAAATCAATTTGTTCTAATACATATCACATCATGCATAGTGGTTGAAATTATGGCTTAAACATGAAAATTTGTCATAATCTATGATGTTGTCATGATCCATCTTGTTTTTGCACAGAAATAGAGTGAAGGTGGGAACTACTGTTTTAAAATCTGTTGAGTTGCTGGGTGCTGTTGGCTTAGGCCTGTATAATCCTAGTGTTGTGGAAAATATTCCACAAAAAAACAAGTGGTACTCAGATTGTTGGAGAACTCAGGTTCTCAGGAACTCAGGAACTCAGCCTGTAGGCCAAGAGGATGTCCTACTCCAAAGTTTGAGTTTGGGCCAACAGGAGTACAAGCTTTCATAGCATTTGTGTTCTGGATTTCAGTTCTGGATAGAGCAGTTACTTTACCTCTACAGTCACAGTTTTTTTTTTGCCAGGCCTGGAGCGGGCCTGGGGTATGTCCCTGAGCATCTTTTGCTCAAGTCTAGCACTCTTCCACTTGAACCATAGCACCACTTCCAACTTTTTCTGCTTATGTGTTACTGAGGAATTTAACACAGGGCTTCATGTATGCTAGGCAAACACTCTATCACTAAGCCACATTCCCAGTCCCAGTTCCAGTTTCTTGAGAATTACTTGAAACATAAAGGTCAAGCTAGTTCTGACCAAACCAATTCTGGCAATAGCAGGTTTTCCATACCTAGATGAGTGAGTTCTGATAATGGCAAGGTTGAGATAATTTTCATAATGACAGATTTTCCTTATCACTAGCCATTCAGGAGGCTGAGATCTGAGTATTAGGGTTAGAAGCCAGTATAGGCAGGAAAGATCATAAAACTGTAATCTTGTATTAATTACTAAAAATCTTGAAGTGGATATGTGGGTCAAGTGGTTGAATACCAGTCTTGATCAAAAACGAAAACAAAAACAAAAACAAAAAAAGGGACAGTGCACAGGCTCTGAGTTCAAGTCTCCAAAATGGGCACACAAAAACAATCCTTTAAGTCTTTAAAGGTGCTACTGATATTTACTTATTCTACACACTGTGTGGTTTGCTTTTGTTTTCTTTTGGTTGTATGTAGAAGAAATTTTCAATGCTATCTACTTAGCCTTTTCTACTATAATTATTCATTGCTCAGGTTAGGATATCAACATTATTAATCAAATTGGTCATGCCGAGTATGGATTATTCTGTGAAAGTCTCTTCAGTCCAGGATAGCTTCAGTTTGTCCTGTATGAGATTTTTTTTTAAGGCTCTGGCAAAGTCTGACAGGTGAGCACTCTAGTTGCAAAGTAATGGCCAGATGTCTCCATTAAAATCGGTAGAATAGTGTCTGTGAGTACAGGGTGTGTCTCATATTGTTCAGTGAAGTTTGGTTACTTCTCTCAATTATTCTAAATAGTTGGGAGGAGTGGGGCTCAGTGTCCAGGACAGCATAATATTGTACCAACTGTGATTTATCTACCAGCCTTATTTCTGGCCTTATACTCTAGTAGCTAGAGCTAAGGTTGCTAACTGGTGCTCAGCCTGGATAGCTCTTTCCACTCAGGTTTTCAGTGCATGAGGTTAGAATAGCAGGTACAGATTGGTCATAAAATGCTCTCTCCTGCCCTCTGCTGGAATGTGATTCAGAAATAATAGATTATTAATAATTAGATTTATTTCTAACTTAGTTGCTATTTGTTAACCAATCCTTTAAGATAAGAAAACCCACACACACATTGTTTTTTTATAGTAGGGACTATGACTCACCTTTTGATTTTTTTGTATTCATCTCCTAGTTATTACTTAGAATCAAGCTGAGAAGGTAGAATATTTGTTGGGACAAGACAGCATAATCCACCCAGGCATTCTCCTCAACTAAAGGGAGATTTCTGTCTTGACAAGTAGAAAAAGTACTTCCTGGCCATACATTTCATGGCAGAGTATTCACAATTTTAAAATGTTCACACCCATGTATTTCTTCTTAGTTCTCAGACTCCCAAGGCATCTATGCTAACCTTTCCTCTCTATTTCCTATTAGGTCCTCAGCCTTAACATACCCGCCTTGGCTGTGTCTTTGTCTTCTCTGTAACTTGAACATATTTACAATTAGTTCTTAAGTTAGAGTTTTAGCATAGCTAGACTTTAGACTCGAGGAGATAATGATGTATTCAGATGCTGCCATGGAAGCCTTTTGACTGACATGCTAAGAATTCAGGCTTGTGAATGGGGAGTCTCAACCTGTCACTTTCTTCTGTCTGTATTCACTGACAATCGACAGCAGTCAACTTAGTCTAAAGCTCTTATAAATATCATGGTTCTCATCTTATATCTCATCCTGATTCAATATAGGCTTAAGTCTCAGGATTTTTTTTGCTAGTCCTGGGCTTGAACTCAAGGCCTAGGCACTGTTCCTAAGCTTCTTTTGCTCTAGGCTAGCATTTTACCACTTGAGCCATAGTGCCACTTCTGTCTTTTTCTGATTATGTGGTACTGAAGAATCAAACCCAGGGCTTCATGCATGCTAAGCAAGTACTCTAAAACTAAGCCACATTCCCAGCCCAAATCTCAGGAATTTTAGTAGTGTGACTTGCTACATGTTACCTCCACTTTGTTGTTTATTATAATGAGATATGTTTAATCATTAGGCCAAATTTCAGAATTCTACTTACAGAAGTCTGCTTTACACAGAAGGAATCTGAGACTTAAAAGGACACATATAACATGTTCTCTTTCATATATAGAGTCTAGAATGAAAAGAAAAATAAAATGATATGAGTATAAAATTGGACTATTTGGCAGCTGGGGATGTGGCTTTGGGGTAGAGTGCTTGCCTAGCATGCATGGGTTTGATTCCTCAGTACCACATAAACAGAAAAAGCTGAAAGTGGTGCTATGGCTCAAGTGGTAGAACACTAGCCTTGAGCACAGAGAGGCTTAGGGACATAACCCAGGCCCTGAGTTCAAACCCCAGTACAAGTGGGGGAAAAATGGACTGTTTGGAGTGGGAACCAGTGAGAAGAGGAATGGTAAAATGAAGATGGGGATGAGTAAGACTGAAATACTTTATGCACAAGTATGAAAATACAATAATGAAATAATAGAAATAATGGGAAGAGGGATAGGTAAGAAAAATGACAGATGAGGTAAATTTGTGTAATGTATGTTTACATGCATGTACAAAAGCATCACGATGAAATCCCTTTGTATAATTAAAATATTGAAAAATAGGGAAATACGTAAACATTGCAAAACAAGCAAAGGTAAAAAGAGGTCATTTGGTGATTGATCCCAAGAAACTGCTAAGGAATACAAGAAATGAGACAGGGGAAGAAAGTTAATAAAAAGTGTGAGATTGGGAAGGACACTACTTGGGATATTCAGAATCAGTCTTTCTGTGAAATTTGGAAAGTAATGCCTTGCATACTGCACGGACATCTACTTCT